GTCTCCCAACTCCACTCAGAGATCACTAACAAGGACCCAGACCTGCAGAGTAAGTTTGGAGCTGAAGCCTTGTCTCAAGCAAAGAAAAGGACAAATGCAGAGCTGGCCGTGCTGGAAAACACACATCCACCCAGAGCTCTCCCTAATCCCAGGAGACGACCTCTTGGCCATACAAAGCTCCACCAGGATGGCATTACCACCGTGAGAGAGCCCAGCAGGCATCACCAAGGTTGCACCATCTCTTTCCCTGAGGTCCCTGCGTGCACAGCAAGCCAGGGATCTGACAGAGCAGGGAGGCTTAAGCCCTTGGTAGGAAGTGAGCAAAGGCTCCAATGCCAAAATGACCAGAGGATAAATAACGTTTTAAAGACCATAATGTAAATGCATATCGTGGTTGGGAATGAACAAAGCTCACCACTCCCAACTGGACTTACACTAAGAGCAGAGCAAAAAGCCTTTCTAGCTCTCCTGTCGGCTACTTGCCAGCTCTACAGTGAGGCCACCCTACCTCCATTTACCTGGTTCCTGAGATGGAGGCAGAACTCCCCTGAGAGGTGCATCACAATCCCCTGGCAGTATTCAAGTGTATTTAAGTTTTCATTAAGATGACTAGTTTTTTTTAAACCCTTGCTCTTCACAGCTGTAGTAAGTGCAAGGACTTAAAACATTCAACCTGGTCTAGCCAGCAGAGCTTTCTACTAAAATGCCCGTTCCTTATTTAGCCAAACAAGCACTACCACTGAGGTGGTGTGGGAGATTCATTACTAAGTAGTTTCAAGCATGCAAAGAGCAACCGAACTCTATCCAAGTCAGCATTTGGCGTTCCCCTGAGGATAATTTCACACTATTCGAGCACAGCGAAAGGATCAGGTGTCATAATCTGGAAGGGAGAGCAGAGCATTGCAGCCCCAGTGCCCCCATTCCCAGCCCCACTTTTTGTACTTGATTTCTCTTCACATCTGACCCAAGTCCTTCTGCTGCCCAACCCAATGATCCCAGACGGAATCCTGGTGGAAACCTTCGTGGCATCACAGGACATAAACAGCTTAAAAGAAGAGTTGCTAGGGCAAGGAGGTGGTTGGTGAGAATCCTCCAGCGATGCCTCGGACCTGGCAATCTGGAACCAGAGGTTGCAGCAGGAGCGAGCGTCGAAGCCCAGCAAATGGGGCCAGTGAGTCAGCTCTCGGGAGCTGCGCCGCATTCTCCAGCCTTCCCGAAACAAACAGTGCAGAACAGGGCAAAGGTCCAGCACAAAGCTGAAGGGCAAAGGTATGCGGGGGAGGGAAAACACCAAGCTTCACGTTTTTTTGGAGCGGCGAGTTCCATTTACCCTCATCCTTCCCAACAAGACGGGAAGAGTTACTCAAACGTGAGTTGTGGGATCAGAACAAAACAGCATTTCAGAGAGGAAACTTGGGGCGGTCGGATGGGGGGGGAGGAGGATTCCTGCTGCGATAGCAGCTCTGTTGCAACAAACAGCCAGGAGAGCTCCACAATTACGTGCCACGACAGAGCGAGAATTGCCCAACACCACTTTGGAAATAGGTGTGTGCAGCAGCACCGAGCTGGATGCCCAAGCAGGCAGATGCGCGCACCTACTCTGAACGCAAAGAAGTGCCAAAGGTAAAACAAGCTTCCCATACACCTTATCTCCCGTACTGGAGGCTGGTTTCAAGGAAAGCCCTATGGGGAGTTACTCAGCGAGGGGTGAGAAGCTCATGAATCTTCCCCTGCCTCCTCCTCAGTACCAGTAGCCAACGCAGGCTCTGCTCCGGCATAAAGCAACACGGGCTCTCTCTGAACAATAGTCAGGTAACCTCCGGTGCTTGCTGCTGGCAACTAAGGTGTGCCTTCTGGAAAGTACTGCTTATCCACCCAGTGCCTCTGCCAAACGGCAAGCAAGACACTCTACTCAAGAAATTAAAACACCCCCCGCATCTCCACTAGGAAATACACCGCTTTCTCCTGGCTGAGCTCTTGCAACGAGAATGAAAACCGGCATAAAAGTTAGCACAGGTGAAGCTCGGGAATTGCAGTGCCAGTCATTAAGCCCTGTGTGCTCTTACTTCCAAGATGTAAAATGGCTTTTAAAATTAAGAAGTGCCAAGTGCCTTGATGCAACATTTCTTGAAATAAATCCAGCAGGTTTTCAAAACGGGGTGCTGTTAACACCTGTCTGCACCAACGCTTGCATCAGCACCAGCCCTGGTGCAGGGCACAGCGGAGGAGTACGACATGTTCCAGAAGGTCGAGCTGTCTTAACTGCAAACCACACTTCTCCTCTATAGGAGAATTTGAGAAGATACTTTGAATTTGTTTTATAGCCAAAAGCGTGAAGCTGGTTTTCCCAGAAAATGTTTCCTTCACTGCTGCAGACACACACACTACCATCACGCCTTCGCCAGTCAGGCTGCTGGCTGCATTTATTTACATGATAAGAAGAGAACGTACAATAACGAGGGGACAGTCACTCAGACATTGTTACTGGATCATTAGAGAGTAAAAATGAGGGATCATTACCAGCTCTGCCAGCGTCCCTCACCAGTGTCAAGCACAAGCCTTGCCACATCGGACAAGACCCTGTTACCTTGGGACTCAAAGGATCCCCTCAGCTCTTGTACCCCGGCTCTGAAACGCACACGGATAGAAACGTAACACGCATCTTGCTGAGGCACCAGGGCAGATTTTCTGGTGTGTGTCTCCAGCTGAGGCCCCAGCCACCGCTTACAGCATCAGCATTATCGCTCTTGTCTAACTCGATCTAATGGTTGCTCCACTTACTGCCACGGCGTCGGGCTTTTGGGAGGAGGGGTTAAGAGGCAAGGAGAGTGCTTTGCTCCAACAGTCCTCCTTCCTGAAAAAGCAGAAACATTTACCCAAAACACCCTATTACAGACCTCACTGCCAACCTGGAGCGTAAAAATGCTGCAGCAGGTAGGCAAGAGACAAACTTCTGAAGATAAATCTTAATCCATTAAAAAAAAAAAAAAAAAAAAGGACACTGTTCTTCAGTCCCTACATCAACTGCCCCCCCAACGCATTCAACTTTCCCAGCTGCAGCAAGTCAAACAGTTCAAAGCACCTAGAGGTGGATTTGTTAAGCTCTTCCCTATCCATGTTCCGACAAAGACAGCAGAAACTCAAAGATCTTGAGGGCAGCTCTGTTTTCTCTGGGCCAGAGCTCAATGCCTTTACTTTTATAAGCACCAATTCCAACAAAGACCATTACAGAATGGGTGAACACCTAAGAAGTAGCTCTTGTCCATTAAATGTGCTCCATGGGTCTGTAATTAATATAATCATTATAAAAAAAATTAGGGCTTTCAAAGCCTGTAAAACAAGTCACAGAGGGATCCCTTTATCTTTTACAGGGCTCCTTGGTCTCCTCACCACCTCTGGCAGGACAAGGGCTGGAAACATTAGTATCTCCAGCACACAAGCATTGCTGGATCCTGAGCCATGGTTTTCTAAGCTCTGCTGAAAACCCAAAAACGTCCAGTGGTGCCTCTCCAGAGTTTAAAAGCTCTCAATCCGCTTCAAGTGTCCAAAGGAGTTGCTTTCCTTAGGCAATCCTCCTGGAGGTCACTGCAACATGACGACTCACCTCACCAGCACCGTCTTTCACACAAAACTCACGCTCCATACCTTTTTTTGTGAGCATCTGCCAAAAGAAATCCTCCACCCAAAGCAGCGAAGACACCACAGGAGCCTGCAAAAATCTACAAGAAGGTGCTTGGGCAAAGGGCCGCCAGGCAAGGTCAGCTGCCAGCCTGCCTCTCGTGGGAGTTCGCCAGCCGTGTTTATTTTACACGTTCTCTTTTCTCCTAACGAACAGGCAGCAAAAGAAACAATGCCCCAAGAGAGGAGAGCCAAGTGGCAGCGTCTGGGGCACTGCAGGAACCAGTCGCTGCTGCCAAGCGTCCCAAAACGCACCACTAACCAATTCCATTATTATACACCTTCGGGAATACGGGCACAATCAAGCCAGACCCAAGAAAATTCGGAGTGTTGCAGCATTACTCCTTTATCCTACCATAGGGTGGACATGCTACCAACATATGCTCGCTCTCTCAAAAAAATAAAAATAATCTCAGGAGTTGCAAGGGCCCCCTTCCTTGTGTGGGGCAGACTGCCTCGTCTCTGCTTATGTTGACGTGTCACCCACCTTTGCAACGAGGCTGGTAACGAATATGGACGCACCTTAGACCTGAGCCCGAAACAGGAGCGTTCAGTCTTGTGTTTTTGCATCTTTTTGGTTTATTTCTAGGGACTGTTACCCCAGAAGGCAGTGAGATTGAGCACAGCTTCCACACAAAGGAGCAATGTGACTGGTTTTATGTCATATTGCAAGAGGCAAATGCAGACAGCAACGCTGTCCTGGATTTCGTTACACTTTGCTTACGCTGATGTGTACAATAACAAACCATCACACAATTGGAACATGGACTTTTACCTGGCACAATTAACTTCACCTATATACTCTCAATTAAGATGACAGCTTTCCAGGTGGAAATTGTAGAGCTGTCCACCTTCCAAAGATCAATACCTTTGATGAATCATCACGCTTGGCTGTAACACTTCTTGCAAAACACATGCACATACAGTAACAGGGAATCTGATGTCACATATGGCAGCGCGATTTCGGAGTTAACACAGAGAGGCCGAAAAAAAAAAATATATATATCAAAAGAGTCTTTCCCAAAAACAAGACGCTCAGTGAAAACTTTTTTGCTTTTGCCATTTTTTTTTGCAGCGATTGCCTGGAAGGCGGTGTGAGCGATGCCCTCCAGGTAGGAGCAGGACCCATCCCAACTTCCGAGGAAATGGTGCTCTGCGATCCCAGCCTTTGCTGACGACAGCGGCGGGTTCCCCAGCCCGTTGGGACAGCTAGCGTCTCCCCGTCCCCTCTCCTTCCCCTTTTGAAGGGGACACACACCTCGACCCCCCCATCTCCCCCCCCAGGGGAGGCCCTGCCCGCCTGCCCGCTGACAGCCCCCAACCCTCCGCCGCAGCCCCCGGCCCCGCCGCCATGAGTCGGCAGAGAAAGGCGGCGCGGCCTTGCACGCCGGGGGAGCCGCCGCCGCCGCACACGTGGGCAACGCCAGGCCGCGGCCCGGGGAACGGCCCCATCCCGGGGGTGTGTGGGTCTGTGTGTGGGGGACGGTGGCGGACGAAAGGGTCGGGGAACGGAACGGCGGGGGGGTGGCCGGGCCGCGCTGCCCTCCCCGTAGAGGTGGAGGGCGGGGGGAGGGTGGGGAAGCCGCAGGCCGGCGGCGCCCGGGGAAGCGACCACGTTGCCTGCGCTGCGGCGGAATGCTGGGAGCGGAGGGGGAAGGAGGCGGAGGGGGGGGGGGGGGGGGGGGGGGGGGGAGGGGCTTTTACCAGGGGGGCAGCCGGGATTGCTTTCGTTTCCCCCACCCTCCATTTTCTACGACCCCCCCCCCCCCGGGTTTTGGGGGCCCCCCCGCCCCCCCCCCCCCCCCCCCCCC